AAGTTATATTAGTAACGTATCAAGCCCAAAATTTCAAAATTTATTACTCATTGGTGAAGCAATAAGACGCAATTGAATCTAAAAGCCACAAACTTCACCAACATCAGGATCATTGTTATGCCCCTGTATCAAAGCTGCTAATTTTACAACATGGATCAAACAGAAAACTTCCATCGAATCAGAGACATTTATGCACCTGGAAAACGGTTTAGGTAACTCAGTGATTCGCCCATGTTAAAGTACAAATATGTATTTGCCTTTTTGTGTAGTTTCCTTTTTTTTTTTATTGGTATACATATTAATTAGGTGGTTAATTTGTTATGTGCACATAGCGTAAGTCCAAAACAACAAAAGTAAGAGACGTGTTGAAAATAAATAAAGTGAGAAAAACTCTACGATTCAAGATTCTCTATTGAGTACTGCCATATGCGACCACCGTTGACACCACCGCCGTCTCCAACCACCGTGGCACCTCGAAGGTTTGTTACTCCTAAGCAGTTTGGTAAATTATACTGATATTCAGTTGCAGCGAATTTATAAGTTTTATTGAGTCCTTTTTTTTTTTACAAATCCTTTTGGAGTGAATTCGTTTGAATCTGGATTATATATTTCAAAATTTAGTCGAACTCTTCTTTTGAGTTTATGTATAATCGGGAAACAAAAAAAGTAGGGTTCTCAAAAGCGTCTGCACGATTAATTCTTTTTTTTTTTTCAATATATAAAATTTTAATTATTGCAACTTTTTTATGTGATGGAATTAACTCTTTTTGGTGGTTTATACTTGTGTTGTAAGTCAGAACTTAGCCTAATTTGAAGTTCATTATTTTGTAGATCTAAAACTCCTCGCCGGAAGAATGTAGATATCAGCAACAAGAACAATACTCCGTGCAAAAATGCATTGAAGCCAAGTTTCGCTGATCTTCCATTATGCCTTTTGGAAGTAATAATGTCTCAACTTGTGTTAGAAGATAACATCAGAGCATCAGCTGCTTGCAAGTCATGGCGTGAAGCTGGAGTTTCTGTTCGTGTAGTGGAAAAACATCCTTGGCTGATGTGGTTTCCTATCACTAGCAACTTGTTTCGATTCTTTGATCCATTGCAGTCCAAGTCTTACACTTTGGAACTGCCAGAGCTAGCTGACTCGAGTGTGCGTTGCTCAAGAGATGGTTGGTTACTTATGCAGAGACATTATACCGAAGACGAGATGTTCTTCTTTAACCCGTTTACTCGGGAGCTCATAAGCTTGCCTAAGTTTAAGCTTCCTTTCCGGGAGATCGCATTCTCTTGTCCTCCTACATCGGATGATTGTGTTGTCTTAGCGTTAAACTTGGACACGGATGCATATCTCACTATCAGCACGTGCCATCCGGGAGCAACCGATTGGATTACTAAGTGCTGCTATACTTATTATAACCAACCGGCGTTACGGGATACACATATAAAGCTTCTCTATGTCAAAGATCGTTTCTATTGCTATTCCTTAGATAGTGGCTGCTTGTATTCTTTTCACAAATCTTCCAGCGTATGGGAGTTTCATTTTCCTGCTGAATCACTGGACTATAGGTTTGACCAGAGAGAATTTTGCTTGGCAGAGAAGAACGGAGAGCTCTTTCTCATGTTTACGAGCCGTGGCAAGAAGTTAACGGTGTATAAACTAGTCTCGTCGAGATGGGAAGAGATGAGTAGTACTACGCTTGATGGCTTGACAGTGTTTTTCAGTTTTTACAACGCTGAGTTGAGAACTAATCTCCCATGGATAAGGAACAATGTCTATTTCTCAAAGCTTGGTTACGACCTCAAACATTGTGTATCCTACT